CGGCCGGGCAGGTGACCCCCAGGGAAGGGCCGCCGGGTCCCTCCGCGCCGGGGCAGCGGCGGGCTTTCGTTTTCCTTCTAGGGCTGAGCTGATCAGCAGCAGCTGCATGTCATGCAAATGCGCTGTGAACGCGTCGGACACGCAGGGGAAAACGCACTTTATTTTTGAAGCTGTGGCTGGAGCGTGGCCGTGGCCGTGGCCGTGGCCGGGCGGAGGTTGCGGCTGTCCCGCTGCAGCGTCCGCAGGCCCCGCCGTCCCCGCCCCCGCGGCCCGAACCTGGCGCGCTCCAGTGCCCAGGGCCCTGCGTCACCATGCAGCTCGCTCCCAGGGTGACTCCCCCTCTCCAGCGAAACATTGCTGCACGCCCCGGGCTGTAACGCTGCAGCTGGTCACGCCGGATAATCCCTCTCTTGTTATTGCTCCTCATTCAGCTCGCCTTCATTGAACACAGAAGAGAACAAAAAACTGGCCTTTTGATTTCTCTCCCTCTCCTGCAAAGGCCGCTCTGATTTCTGTGGCATGGTGCCATGTCCCCCCTCCACGAAAACGCACAGTATTAACAACGCAGTACTTCGTGCCTCAGCGGGACGAGCCGGGTATCAGCTCTGTTCACGTTTCGTCAAATAACTCGAGTCCCTTCAAATCCCCGCTGCCTCTCGGGGCCACGTCCAGGCCTCTTACAGCCGGCAAACTTGATGTGAAATGATATGTCCGGCTTTTTTAAAGAGAGAAAGCGACCTGAAACGCAGGCCGTAAAGCTACAGAAGGGGCGGGCTCCGATCCAGCCAGCTCTGACCAAGTGCCATCATTTTGCCAAAGGGGCAGCTCATGGGGCAAAGGGGAACAAGGGAAAACCGAAAGCCCTTGAATGAGCTAAGTCTCCCGCGTGCACAATTTCTGTTGGAGATGAACTCCCGGGGGATGGTTTGCACATGGAGGAGTGTCATGCCCAGGCTGCGGACAACATCGAGGCTTCACTGAAGCGGAGTCCAGCGAGGCAGGTGGAGGCGGGGGCGAACGGCCTCCCCTCGCAGCGCCTCGAGGGGCTTGGGGAAGGCTGCGGGGCTTCCCCTCCATGTCACTGGACTTGTCTGAACACGATGTGCTCGCTGTCACGCAGACCTGACGGGCAACCCCCTCTCCCCTTCCCCCTGCTCTGTGATCTGCACATAAGCAACAGAATTGGGCGATGAGAAAAAAAGCCTTCCCTTTGCCTAAATCATGCCAGCCGAGGAAGCAGAGGTCCCCCCCCCCCCGGCTCTCTGGGAAGGGGATGCGAGAGGAGCGAGGCTGGATTTCACTCCACAAATAAGCCAAGGCGCTCCCTCGCCCTGGCTCCTCTGACTCCTAGCTGCGGGAAAGCCCAGGCTCCCCGCAGGAGCGGCCAGGCTCCGGGCTCACGAGACCAGCGCAGGGAAACAATAACCAGAGACCGGACCTAGCCTCAGCAAAGCGCTCACCGGTGCTGGCGACTCCCTTTCTAGTCCGGGGACAGAAAAAGATGGGCGATTAGCACGTGTGAGCCGGACCAGCGGCGGGAAGGATGCGCTGGTGGGAGCGGGGATTTCTTTTCCCGTGACGATTAAACCCGGCTTTGAAGCAGGGTCCCGGGGGTCCCTGCCTGGGAGGCGGCGGCACCGAGCGGGCGGGCAGGGCCCATCTGGGCTGCTGGAGGGGAGCAGAGTGAACGATGCCAACCTGACAGTCAACGCTACAATCTCCTTCAAGGGCGGCAGGGCGCCTCTCCCACCGCGCGGTCCTTTCCCCGCCAGGGGCAGGGCGGCAGGAGGCCGGGTGGGTCTCCTTGGGCCGCCACTGGGCCGGGGAGATGTTTCTTTAGCGCTGCAATAATCCTGGAATTAAAGCGCGTGTGGAGGAGGAGGAAAGGCAAGAGCCCAGGCAATGAAGTCTCCCAGGTGTGTGCCTCGGTGCCAGCACACACGCAGCCCGGCAGCGCCAGCGGCGGGGGCTGGTGGCCAAGGGGCCGCGATCGGCTGCTCCGCGCCTGGCCCCGTGCTCGGGGAGGCCGCTCGGCCCCGGAGCCCTGGCTCCGGTCCCCGATAAGTGACCACCCAGCAGCCCCGGGGCCAGGGCGTCCCTCGGGCTAACACGAGCGTCTGCCAGCTCCGGCAGGACGGTTCCGGCTCCACGGGTCCTCTCGCTCGATCCCCGTCCCCAGGTTCACGACTGACGAGAGGTGAAGGTCTGATATGAGCAAGGGAAGCAAACAGATCAGAGGACACACGACCCAGCCGCCCCTGCACACGCAGCCAGCATGGAGGACAATGTCCTACCAAGGCAGGAAGCACTCGCCTGGGCCCAGCCCCCTGCCACAGCTTGCAAATGCACTGGGGTGACGGCTGAGGTCCCTAGGAGAGCAGCACTGATTGCTACCGAGCCCTTGCCTGCGGCAGCCCCGAAGTTTTCGGCCATGAGGCGTGTAGCCCGCATCCGTTCCCAGCCGGGGTCACTGCACCCCGGGCCGGGCCAAGGGCTCGCTCCGCACGTAGCAGCGCGGCCGTCACAAGGACACTCTTCCTTCCTGAGGAGCTCACCTCAGAAAGGGGGAGGGGGGTTAATCAGATCTGTCCTCCCTCATGGCCCTGCCCCCCGTGGTCAAAACAGCAGCTCCAGCTGCAACGCAGGGGCTGGGAGGGGACACAGGAAAGAAGAGAAATCTTGACAGAGCGCAGCCCAGTGCAGAGATCTCCCCCCGCGCAGCGCGGCAAGCGGCAACCACAGTCGCTCCCAAGCAAGTGTCTGGCTTGAAACCAGTGAAGAGGTGAACCCTGGAAAGCGCTGAGGCGTGCAGGGGAGTGTGCTCCTGAAACGGCATCGCAAACACTGGGGGAGGGACTTCCACAATTTTGTCAAATTAAAAGTGAAACAGCAGCGTCTTCTGCTGCAAACTGCCAGGAAGTGTCAAAACACGTAGTTACAAAGAGCAAGAGTGTAATTACGTGTTTCTGTTTATCGTTTCAGTTACCCATTCTCTGCAGATTACAGGCCCTATTCGAAAATACACCAGCTCCGGGGGCCTGTTGTTCTCTGCAGGCCTTCTTTCCAGCCTCCTGCCTAGGACTGCTCCTTCCTTCCTTTCTCTTTTTTAAACGGTGCCATTGGTTTCTCTGCATGCTGGAGTTTACCATGTTTGTAAGTGATGCTTCTCT